GTATTCAGGGCCAAACTCTATGCTTTCAGTTTTCTCTCTTTTTTGAGACGATTGTTTAGGGATGGACTCCATTGGATGCTTTCCAGCCCTCTTTTGGGAGATGATAATATCTTCTTGAGAATCACTGGAATCATCTTCGAACAATGGATGATATGTGCTTTTTGAGTTTTCTACATCTACAGGATCATCAGTTTGACGGTTTTTCTTGAAGCGATGGCTTCTTCTAGGCATGGAGGAGGAAGGAGAGAGTTTGGCTTTGGCCTTGAGTAAAAGAGAGAAGAGAGAAAATAATTTTCTTTGAGAGAATGGGAGATATGATCGAGGGGAAATGGGTTAAAAAGAGTTTGAATGGACGCCTCGATTCTTGGAGAGACGTGTGAAAGGCAACTAAAAAGTTGCCTTCTACAAGCCCGCCGTCAATTCAGTCATTAATGCAAATGCAGAATAATCAAGTACTAAAAGATTTTTAGGGTGAAAATTATGAAGAACAATTATGGAAAAAATTATAAACTTATACAGTTATGGAAATATTTAGCACAGTTAGACGGAAATTAAACAAATACCAGTTTTGTCACGAAGGAAACAAAATCTTTCTTCAAGTAATGGTTTAATAAAAATATCTGCTAACTAATTTCTAGTATTGATAAATTCTAACACAATATCGCCGTTAGCAACATGATCACGTATAAAATGATGCTTAATCTCAATATGCTTAGCCCTAGAATGATGCACATAATTTTTTGAAAGACAAATAGCATTAGTATTATCAAACATAATAGGAACGCAGTTAAGACGTAAATCATAATCTAACAGTTGATGCATAATCCATAGAACTTCTGTGCAGCAGTTGCCTACAACAAATATTCTGCTTCAGTAGTGGATAGGGAAACACAACTTTGTTTCTTATTGTGCCAGGATATGAGAGATTTTCCAAGTAATTGGCACGTTCCACTTGTGCTTTTCCTGTTAATTTTATCTCCTGCAAAGTCTGCATCTGAAAAATCTTTGAGATCAAAGACATTTAAACTTTCGTACCATAATCCATAGTCAATTGTCCCTATCATATATCTTATAATACATTTAACAACAGTCAAGTGGGACTCTTTGGGAGCTGCCTGATATCTTGCACATTTGCAAACACTGAACATAATATCAGGTTGACTAGCCGTAAGATAGAGTAAAGAACCAATCATACCTCGATACATTATTTCATCGACACTCTTACCATCTTTATCTTCATCCAGGGTAGTTGATGGACTCATATGAGTCCCTATGGCCTTTGCATTAGACATGCCAAAAATTTTGATGAGATCTTTTGTGTACTTTGTTTGACTAATAAAAATTTCTTTCTGTACTTGCAATTGTTTGATTTGAAGCCCAAGGAAGAAGGTTAATTCTCCCATCATACTCATTTCAAATTCCCCTTTCATGATATTTGAAAAGTTCTTGCATAAAACAGGGTTAGTACTGCCAAAAATAATATCATCTACGTAGATTTGTACTATTAAATTACCTCCAGTCAATCGTTTGATAAAAAAGAGTAGTATCAATATTACCTCTGTCAAACCCATGTTCGACTAGGAATGAACTCAACCTTTCATACCAAGATCTAGGAGCTTGCTTTAGACCGTACAAAGCTTTGGACAGTTTGTAGATATGATTTAGAAATGACTCATTTACAAATCCTGGAAGTTGCTTAACAAATACTTCCTCAGAGAAGAACCCGTTTAAGAGAGTGCTTTTCATATCCATCTGAAATAGTCTGAAACATTTGTGAGCAACATAGCCTAATAAGATGCGAACAGATTCTAACCTGGCAACAAGATCGAAAGTCTCCTCGTAATCAATTCCTTCTTGCTGTGAATAGCCTTGAGCAACCAGTCTAGCTTTATTTCGTACTACTTGTCCAGACTCATTCAACTTATTTCTGTACACCGATTTTATTCCAACAATTATGCATTTGGGGTTTAGGAATGAGTTCCTATACCTTATTCTTCTCAAATTGATCAAGCTCTTCCTTCATTGCAGTTATCCAGCTTTCTTCTCCAAGGGCCTCATCCATATTTTTTGGTTCGAACTGGGATATGTGACCAATATTTGATGTCTGCTTTAGTGATCTTCTAGTTTTCATTCCTTCCTAAGGATCTCCAATGATGTACTTATGTGGATATTCATGCTCACTTTTCCATTCATTTGGAACAACTAATACTGGCTCCTTTTCAATGGGAATTGACTGTTCAACTGTAGGAAGTTCCTGATTATCCACACGACTATCAGTCGACTAATCTTGCTGATCAGTCACCTCATCAAGAGAGTTTTCACCTGTATTGATAGACTTTGTAACTATGAAAATTTTCTCATCTTCAGGAAGTTTTTCATTCCTTAAGCGAGGGTTAGTGTCCACAAAAATAACATGTATAGATTCTTCAATAGAAAGAGTACGCTTATTAAAAACTTTATATGCTCTACTAGAGGGAGAGTATCCAAGAAAAATACCTTCATCGCTTTTGGGATCAAACTTACCAAGATTGTCTTTTTCATTATTGTGGATGAAATATTTGCAACCAAAAGGATGAAAATAACTGATGTTTGGTCTTTTACCTTTCCACGGTTCATATGGAGTCTTCTTGAGAATAGGTCAAATTAAGCATCTGTTGATGATGTGACATGTTGTGCTTACAACTTCTGCCAAGAAGTGGTGAAGGAAATTTTTCACAATAATAGTTCTTGCCATATCTTGCAAGGTTCTATTTTTGCGTTCTACCACTCTATTTTGTTGAGGTGATCTTAGAGATGAAAAATTGTGGGAGATCCCTTGATTATTACAAAAGTTCTCAAATTCTTTGCGTTCAAATTCTCCTCTATGGTCACTTCTTATAGAAGATACGTAGTAACATTTTTTCCGATGTACCTTCTTACAGAAGACTTCAAAATTTCTTAATGCCTCATCTTTATGACTTAGAAAAATAACCCAGGTAAATCGAGAAAAATCATCTACTATAACAAAGGCATATTTTCTACCACCTATACTACCTGTTCAAGTTGGACCAAAAAGGTCCATATGCAAGAGTTGAAGAGGTTTTGTAGTAGAAACTATGTTTTTAACTTTAAAAGAGGACCTGGTTTATTTTCCTAGTTGACATGCATCACAGATTTGATCTTTTGAAAAATCTAGTTTTGGAAGACTAATGACAAGATCATTTTTAGAAAGGTTATGAATAGTATGCATGTTGGCATGACCAAATTTTCTATGCCATACCCAAGAATCATCAATCATATAGGCTAGACAAATTATTGATGGTGTAGACATTCCTATCTCTATTTCTAAAAAGAATAACTTTACCTGATTCGTTTTTAATAAACCAACCATGTTTTTTTAAAACGAACCTCATAGTCATTGTCACATAGATTACTGAAACTGAGTAGGTTATAGCCAAGTTCATCAACCAGGTACACCTCGTCTACATCACATGTTGAGCTGAGAGGAACTCTTTCAACTCTAATTATATTTCCTTTTGATTTGTCTTCAAAGTTGATTGTTCCTCCATCTAGTTTGGTGACAATTTTGAACATTTGTTTGTCACCTGTCATATGTCTGGAACACGCTCTATCAAGGTAGTATTTCCCTTTTCAATTCTTCTTGCGGTGTTCCTACCAAAATAGATTACTTATTTTTAGGTACCCAAGCCTGCTTGGGTCTTAAATGGTTAGTGTTTCTAATATTAACTTGACTGACCCATATCCTGTTGTTCTTAAACTGCAATGATTAGAAGTATGACCAGGTTTTCCATAATAAAAACATGAGTGATTATTGAAATTTTCAGAGACTTTTTATCCTCTAATTCTAAGCCTACAGTGGTTAGAGCTGTGGCCATTTTTGCCATAATGAGTGCATGCAGAGCGATTTCTAGTTCTAGTTGGTAAATTATGAGGAGCAAACTAATTTGATCTAACTGAGCTATGACCGGTGGATTTTCGTAATCCATTCAGTTGAAGTTGAAGTTCATTAACTTCATCTTGAATCATATCTCTCTCAATTTCACAAACTTCTAATTTCAGAGCCCAGTCTTTCTTTTCTCTGTGGATTTTTTTAAGTTCATTCAGAACTTTCTCAATCTCTTCAAGAGCAATATCAATAAATTCTTGGAGTTCGTGATAGTTAGGACATGTAGGAAGACGTACCTCACTTGTTCCTTCATCTGCCATGAGACCAAGCTCACCCGAGTCTTTATCGCTATCTTCTTTGATGGCCATGAAACACATGTTGGCAATTTTTCCATGGTCATATTCTTCTTCATTACTCCAAGCTCCAAAGGATTTCTTCTTTTGGAAATTTTTGCTTAGTTTCTTTTTCAGTTAAGGGCATTCAACTTGAATGTGTCCATGTTTTCCACACTTGTAGTATCTTCCGTCATTTTTGTCATTTTCAGTATTCATCTTACCTTTTTAAAAATTTGATTTATCTCTTCTGTTATTTCTGTTTTTCCTCATTATGCTTGTTACAACTTTAGAGAGCATAGTTATATTCTTCTTCTTCTTCTTCTTCTTCTTCTTCTTCTTCTTCTTCTTCTTCTTCTTCTTCTTCTTCTTCTTCTTCTTCTTCTTCTTCTTCTTCT